TCAATGAATCAGTCTAAGATATAAGTTCACTAGTGTACATTTACAGTCATCGAGGGACTGAAGATGGTAAGGGCTTTTATTCTGTGATGTTTCTAACACTGAACCCACGTATTCATTAAGAACAAGGAAAAAAAAGGTGGAAGAGGTCACGGCAGAACAGGAGAAATGCTGCATGCTTGATGTTCAGATTAAATTTCACTGTTATTCTTGGCCCTTCTTCTGGTCTGCTCTGATTGTTTTTAAAGCTTGGGCTTCACTGGTTTTCCACAGCTTGATCAGCTACCCACCTGTAGCCTTGAGGCTGCAGGTTCCTCACCCCTGAGCTACACCATTTATTAATGGATTGGGAACTGGGAACACTTGAGGCCTGGTTTAGTAAATGCCTGAGTTTCAAGGACAGGTCTGTGATTTTGCTTCTCTTCTGTGAGGCTGTAGAGGAAAGGATTTTGTTGTTAACTTCAGACTGACTTCTGCACTGGATTGATGATCTGATTTTTAAGGTGATGAGAATGACGTTTTTAGGAGCACAGGCTTGGAGCTAGAAAGGACCTTGGACGTCATTTTAGCTCCACTTCAAGTTGCGGATAAAGAGGCTGAGGCCCAGAGAGATCATCTGACTTGCTCTAAGTAACTGAGATAAGTAGTGAGTGTTGAATCTAGGTCCTCAGTCACTAAATCTAGTCATCTTTTCATTACAGCACACAATTACAGTTATCTCTCACACAGTGGGGCTTAGGGTGTGGCACCCTCCCCCCACCCCCATCCCCCTGCGATCTGGAAAATCCGTGTATTTTTTTGACCCTCCCTTCATACTAGAGAAGAAGTCTGAATTTTTCTTTTTCTTTTATGGAGTATTTACCTTAAAAAATTTATGGAGTGTTAACCTTGGAAAATTTGGGTTAAGTATTTGGTTATCGGCTACATTATACAATACTATACATTTATTTTATGCATTTCTGAGTTTCTAAACTTCTTCTGTCGTTTGTTGGCCTTCACTTCCACAAAACTCCCAAAAAATTCCCATTTAATTTCTTACGCCAAACCACGATATATTGAAACCACAATAGGGAAAATTGTAATGTGTAAGTGATAATTGTACTCCATTTTTATTTCCTTAGTTTCTCCCTTGGGTGAGGAAGGGGGAAATTGGATAGTGATTATGTAGGAATATAGGTAAGACATTGCCATGTAATGCATAAAGTTCCCTGAACGGCTGATAACAAGGATTGTAGGATGAACCAATGATGGGTCAGGGCCCCTAGGTGAGTGGGAAAGGGGGAGAGGGGAACATCAAGAACCAGGCAGGGCAGATCTCTGACCCAAGGAACCACACAGGCTCACCGGCTAGAAGTATTCAGGAGGCTGCGTGCCTCGGCCTGGGGCTCACAGTGATTGAGAAGTTAAAAATAATGAAAGGTTTTAGCCCTAGGATCAAGGGCAAAGTGCCAGCCAAGGATGGTTCCTAGGAGGTGGCGTGCCAGGGGAAACTGATGCAGTTTGACACATCGTTCATGGCACCACCTATTCATTCACTTGCATGTCCTGCTGAGACTTATCTGGTCCCAAGCATGTCTACCCCAAGATAAGTCACTGCTTTACACCTATAACAGAAACGAATTTCTTCCCAACACAAACTGAAAAAGGAATTTAAAACCATGCTCTCAAGCTACTGATGTCACCCATGATCATTGCTTAAGGATTCTTGTTCCAAATCAGAAAATCCCCAAACCCCATCTATCTGGGCCACAACCCACCAGGGAAAGTCCACTCTGTTACTTACACCTGGTCCCCTTATTACACACCCTCTCCCACCATTTCTAGCAATGGATTTAGTTTAATTAGGTAGCACAGGGTAGTGTAATGAATTTTGGATTTAAAAAATGTTTAATAAGAATGAAAATGTATAGCCTATATCAGATTCTGCGCCCTCTTGGGAAGGGTGGTGGGGAGGGAGGGGGAGAAAAATTTTAAACTCAAAAGCATATGGAAGTGATTGATTGTTGATAAATCAAAATAAATTAATGAAAAAAAAATTTTGGACTTAGAAGTCAGAAGACCTGGGTTTGAGTCCTGACTTTGATGCTGACCTTGAAGCAAGTCACAGTTTTCTTAGCTGTAAAGGGGACAATAATGTTTGCACCACCTGCCTCACAAATCATTGTAAAGTATTTTGTAAACTTTAAAAGTACTATGCAGATGGGAGTTATGTTGGTGAACCCACGGTCTCATCAGTGTGGTTACTTCCTCCAAAAGAGCAGCCCACAACCGGACATGGCCCTGACCTTCCAGATGCTTCCAAATTTGGACGCAGACATCCTGGCGCAGAACTGTGGCCATGAGCTACGTAGAGAAGCCACCATCCACAAAGTCTACTCAATGGTCTCCTCTCTAAGTCATGTGGGGAAAGAAAGGAGCCATGCTAGAAAGAGGCCCCCCCAGGTGGTAAGAGCTGTCCCTGAAGGCTAGGCTGTGGCTGGCTTGTCACCTATCACTGAAGAATCAGCTCATGCGCTTCTCCAAAATTTTGCAGTCATTTACTGAACACCCACCATATTCTCAGTCCCACGTGAGATTATTTGATGAAGGAGACAGAAGATGCCATCTCTGCCCTCAGAGAAGTCACAATCTAGTCAGAAAGAGAGGCCTGACAGTACCCCCATAGAATGCAAATCAGGGAGACAAATCCTGGACGTTTCACTATGAGCTGCAGGGGTCAGGAAAAGCTTCCTGAAAAAGATGGCCCAATATAATAATAGCAAAAGTGCTGAATCTGGAGTTGGAGAACCTGGATTCCAATCCCAACTCTGCTACATACGACCTGAGTGACCCCGGGCAATCAATCAGTGACTATTTATAAAGTGCCCACTATGTGCCAGGCACTGTACTAGTCACAGACAGAAATTACACACTCCTGTCCTCAAGGAGTTTACACTCTATCAGGAAGAGAAAACAGGTACATAAATTAAATTAAGTACATGCAGACTATATACACACCAATTATAAGGTAATTTGGAGAGGAAGGGCTAGTGCTGGGTGGTGGAACGGGAATCTGGAAAGGCTTCACTTAGAAGATGCTGAAGCTGAGTCTTGATGGGAACAAGGAATTCATGCAAGGAGACAGAGGTGGGGAGGGAGTCAATTCCAGGTGTGGGGAACAGCCCGGGCAAAGCGCCGTGTTTGTGAAACAGCAGAAGGGCTAGTGAAGAGGAAGGGGACTGACCTCTAATAAGGCTGGGGCCACCTTTGAATGCTACAGTTTATATTTGACCCAAGAGACAATAGGGACCCCTGCTGTTTCTGAGTAAGGAAATGACATGGTCGTACCTGAACTTTGGGAAAAATCACTCTGGGAATCGTGAGGAGGATGGATTTGAGAAGGGAAGAAACCTGAGTCAAGAAGACCAGCTAGGAGGCTATTTCATAGTCCTGGCAAGAGGTGACGAGGGTGTGACCTGGGATGCTGGCTGTGTGAGTAGTGAGGTGGGACAAGTCACCTGAACTGTCTGGGTCTCAGTTTCCTCATCTATAAAATGATGCGATTAGACTAGATGAGGTCTACGTTCTTTTTCTGTTCTAAATAGCTGATCCAGAGCATTTCATTAAGACTTGAAGGATGGGAGGGATTTCCAAAGGGAGAGAGGCAAGGGCATTTCCAAGCAGAGTACAAAGCCCAAGCAAGAGGCAGGAAGGATCCTGGCGTGGCTAAAAGATAATACCGGCTGAAGCAGAGGAGGTGTGAAATAGGAGAGTGTGAGGTAAGGCTCAAAAGCTTGCAGCCAGATCATGAAAGGCTGTGAAGACCAGGATCGGCAGGTTGGACTCCATCTCAGAGGCAAGAGGGAACCAACCCGATTAGAGGTGTGAATAAAGAATGCGGCTGGAAGCGCTTTAAGGGAAAGGATGGAGGCAGGGAGACCAGTTAGGAGGCTATTTTAATAGCCCAGACAACAGGTAATGAGTGATGGTATTAAGAATGGACTGGAAAGGATGGATCAGGTTACTGGGCAGAATTGAAAGGACTGGTGAATGACTAGATGCTGGGGGCTGAGGAAGAGCTAATCTGAACATTGTTCTATGCATGAGGGTCCTGGAGACTGAGCCTTCTCCAATTAGACAGAACTTGAGGGTCAGGGGACGGCGGGCAGGGACCGGATGCCAATAAATACCTGCAGGACCACCTCCAAAGCCTGAGCTGGGAGTGCCAACTACCTGTGGACGCCTGGCGCCCTCTCCTGGTGAAAGAGAAGTCTGCAGTCTATCACATGGAGTAACTCATAGGGTGGTTTCCCTCCCCAGACCACCCCCAACCCTTCAGGATCTGTCCTATCTGGGTGAGCAAGGGTGGGTGGGAAGGGGCTCAATGCCAACAAGTACCTGAGATTGAGTGAAGTAGCATCCTCCATAAACCTCATCAACTCCTCCACCCTCCTCCATCCCCATGGTGACAGATGGTCCAAGCAAACCTGGAATTTGGCATCCATGATCCATTACAGTGAAAAATCACCCTGCTCCCTACCCCCTACCTCCCACCCCATCTTGATTAAAAAAAAAAAAAAAAACTTTCCCCCAAATACAGGCACAATAGAGGCATCAAGAAAGGTGGTTAAGAAACTACGTGACCTTAAAAGTAACCTCTCTGGGCCTCAGTTTTCTCATTTATAAAATGGGAATGATTGTAAGGAAATAGCCTAGCAACGTTGGCCTGACTTATTCTCAACAAAAGAGATTTTGTCCCCTAGGCCAGAAAAGCCAAAAATTCCAGTGGATATATTTTTCCCCTCCCTCATTTTGGATAACCTCCTGACACAGTAATAATAATAGCAGTTCTATAGCTTTCATTATGTGCCAGGCACTGGGCTAAGCACTTTACAAATATTATCTCATTTGATCACAACAACTGTGGGAGGCAGGTGCTATTATTATCATCCCTATTTTACAGATGAGGAAACTGAGGCAGGTAGAGGTTAAGTGACATACCCAAGGTCACACAGCTAGTAAGTATCTGAGACTGGATTTGAACTGAGGTCTTCCTGACTCCAGACCCAGTGCTCTGTCCACTGCACCACTAGCTGCCTGTCGACAGTGACAAGGAAACATCTGATCTCTGCTCACTCTACCATTCAGGACAGGGAATCCCCATCTGTCCCTGTACTGCAGGTGCCCAGAGGTGGGGAATCAGGGGTTAGCTGGCTTCCTTATGGCACCGGCTTGAAACTAACTGCCCAAGTCCCAGCCCATCCCACCCCCCTGGGGATAATGGCCTGGAGATACTGGGTACAGGAGGTAGGGAAGCTGGTGGCGGGAGGAAGGGAGGGGAAAGAAGCCCCGCTCTGGCTAAGCGTGGCCTCCCAGTAAGCCCCGATTCCATCATACTCAAGGTCTGGGGAAGAAAGCGATGATCCGTATCTGGGAATGGGTAGGGTTTCCTAACGACACGTCACTGACGCCCTTCCAAGCATGGGCACGGGTACCGGTGCACAGTTCAGTTCTCCAGCTCCACTGCCCACTCAGCCAGCCACTGCTGGCACCTGGCCCGCTGCTCCTCCGATTCCCTGGCCCCAGCCTCCCAAGCAACCACGTCTTGGCCCACCTTGGGCAGAGGTGAAGTCTCCCCAGTGGCTGGATCCGCTGCGGCCTTCAGGGCCTGGATGACTTGCTCCAGGGGGTGGACCGATTGCTGGGGCTGCCAGTTAGCATCCAGCGTGGGCACGAAGGGGTCGGGCGTGCTCACCTCGATGAGCTCCCCGCACGTGGGGATGCGGAGATAGAAGGCGTGCAGCATCATGCGGAAGGGGCGGCTGTCCTTCTTGAAACTATAGGTGAAGTCGCCCACAATGGGGTGTCCACTGCTGCTGCAGTGGACGCGCAGCTGATGGGTCCGGCCTTCGGGAGAACACAACGTCAAGAACACACGAGAACCCAGGCCCAGCCCTCCCATCTGGGACCCGGGCACAGGGAAAGCCTCAGCCGCCCTTTCTGAAATCACCCTCCAAAAGCGCCTCGCACTGTCTTAAGGCCATAGGATTTTGACCTGGAAGGGGGCCTTAGACAGGATCTAGTCCCATCCCCTTACTTTACAGAAAAGCAAACTGAGGCCCAGTCAGAGGAAATGACTTGCCCAAAGTCACAAAGGCCTACCATTTGTCCCAAAATCTCCTTCAGATTTCACTGAAGCTCCTTGTTCTAATCTGCGCCATCATCTCTCCTCATCCCTTTACTGAGATGTCAGCCTGTCTTCCCAGATTGGAGAAGCCCTGCAGTCTGAATCATAGATTTCAAGCTGGAAAAGACCTTAGGGGCCCACTGAGTCCAGGCCCCTTCATTTTACAGATAAGGAAACCAACCAAGGCCCAAAGAGACTGCGTATAGCTAGCAAATGCCCAAAGAAGGATCTGAACCCAGGTCTTCCTGATCCTACTTCCCTGCCTCTAAATGAAAGATCACATTTCTATAGCACTTAACAGTTAAAGAACTCTTCTGACAACACCCTTGGGAGGCAGGGAGTCAGAGCATCATTGTTTACATTTACAGGTGAGGAAGCTGGGTCTTAGAGGAGTGAGGCACACACCTGGTGGGTGGTGGAGCCAGAGCTGGGCAAGTCCAGGGCTTTTCCCAAGGCATCTCCCAGCTCAAGCTTCCTGGGGTTTGGGGTCAGCGATGGGTACCTGAGACTCCTCTTCCCCAACCTCCGGCTAAACAGGATGCGCAGCAATCATTCACAGACCCAAAGAATTCGTCCCTCTCCTTTCTCTCCTCTCACTCCCTCTGCCCGTCTGCCTCCTCTCCCCCATCCCTCTGCAGAACAGCAGGTTCAAAACTTTCTAATCACACACCCCCAGCAGCAAAAAAAAATAGCACACATCCCCACGGTGTCTGTTTATTCATAAATGATACACATGCACTACCATACTAATAACATACATTACAAAACTCTCGCAAAAAAGTGGACATTTTAAAAGGACGTGATAAAGAAGAAATAATATTTGATCCTAGAATGAACAGGAAGCCATTGGAATTTACTGAGTAGGAGAGTAATATGGTCCGACCGTGCTTTTGGGAGTATCGTTTTTCAATTTGGCAGCTGAAGGGAGAAGGGATTAGAGAGAGCAGGGACCTGAATCAGGGAGACCAATTAGGAAGCTATGGAAATAGTCCAGGGGAGAGGTAATGAAGGCCTGAACTCGGCTGGTGGCCGTGTAAGTGCAGAAAAGGGGATAGAGGCCAAGAGATACAGCTGAGACAGAGAGGGCAAAATTGGTCAAATGACTGGCTTTCTAGGATGACCCCAAGGCTGGGAATCTAAGTGACTGCAAGGATTGTGGTACCCTTGACTGAAAGAGGGAGGTCTGGAAGAGGGGTGGGATTCTGGGAAAAGCTAAGGTAAGGGGGGCAAGGCTCTCAGAGCTCAGAGCTTGGGGTATGTACCCCAATGTCAGCTGGAGTGAGAAGGGGGCCAGGGTGTGACAATGTTGGGGGGAGCTGCTCTAGGCGCCTGGGTCATGATTAGGTCATAAGCCCACCCCATCTCCCCATCCCCAGATACCCAATGTAGCCACAGGAGACCACAGTGGGAAAGGTAGGACTGAGGTGTTGAACGAGACAGGTAAAATTGCAGCTACAGTTATGTTGGAATCAAGCACTGTGGCTCCTGAATGAGGCTGAGATGCGACCCATTTTTCCATTCTCTGATTGGTTCATGTCATAACCCACTGGGGCTCCACACAGTTTCCACTTTGGAGACCACTATCCTGGAGAAAGTCCAGGATTAAAACGTGGCTGGGACCTGCTAGGGTCAAAGGCTATCTCAGATACCTACTAGCCATGGGCCAAAAGAACGCAGCTCCCCGGACCCCTACCCTTTGGGGTTAAGTGGATGAGGCTATTGAAAGACTTAGTCAAGGGACTCCTTAGTTCAGATCCTTCTTTTAACACGACCAGCTTCTGTAAGCATGGACAAGTCCCTCTGAGACTCTGACTCCTCATCTGTGAAATGGGTATAAATAATATATGTAATGCCCTGCCCTCACAGGATTGCTTTGGGGATCAAATGAAAATAATGGATGAAAAACATGTCATAAACCTTAAAAAGTGCTACAAGGGTAAGCTTCAGTAGCTTAAAACGGCATTAAGACTTTTGGGACTCCTTATGTAAACGTCAATTAATAACAATAATATAATAAGAGTCAAAAAATCTGGGTTTGAATCCTAGCCCTGCCCCCCTGGGTACCTCACTTATAATACTAATCTAATCTACAATACGTCCAATTCAAGACTCAGTAAAATGATAAAGAATGCTACTACTCACATCCTGGCAGAAAGGTGAGGGGTTTAGGTAGAGAATGAAATTTATTTTTTGGATATAACCAATAAGGGAATTTGTTTTGCTTGACTATGCCTATTTCTTACATGGGCTTTTTTTTTTCTTTGTTTTGCCCCTTTTTCTATTTTCCCTAATGGGGGAAAGAGGTGGAAGAGAAAATATATTTTTCAAATTTTTAAAAAATTAAGTTAAAAAATAAATTAAAATGAGGTTAGACTAGATGATCTCTAAGGAACCTTTAAGCTATGAATACCAAGCTCTGAAGCCACCAAGTGTCACTGAGCCTCAATTTCCCTATCTGAAAAACAGGTATAATATAATTCCGGTTATGACATGAAGCCTGAATGAGAGGATATTTATGAGAGTACTTTAAAAACCATTCAGGGCTGTGCAGATATTAAACTTACAGAATGGGGAGGATGCCTGTTTCACATCCAGGCTTGGGATGGCCCAACACACAAAACCGATTCCTCCAGAAGCGGCCACCTGCCCTCACCTGCTCACCACAAAACATTCAGACCCCTCCCCTGACCCTGGCCAGGTAAGCTGTGAGGTGGAGGCCACCTTACCTGTGAGGGGTTGGAGGAGGACTTTGGAGACGGGATCACCATCATACAGCCCACGCTCCAGAACTGTCAGTTCCGTCAGGCACGGTTTGGCATTCTCACAGCCTGAGGGGTGGGAATAGGAGAAGAGAGATGGTGGGATGCTGCCCTCCTACGGTGGCAAATCCTGGCTTGAAGAACTGCTATCTTCAGGGAAACCTTCCTGGATTTGTCCCCATGTCCTTCTCTCCACAGGCCCAGGTAAATCCCTGAGCTGTCCCTTTCCTTTCAGCAGCAACATTTCCTTAGACAACACATCTATCTTTATCCTTGCCTCAGAAGCACAAAGCTGTTCCTGGCTGTTCAATATCAGCCTATTCATAAAGCATGACCTTAAAATGAAAGCCTGCCTCACTCAGATCCTGGTCCTGCCCTCTGTAAGTTTACATTCCAAGGCTATGCAACAAAAGCATTGTTGTTGTTCGTTCTTCATTCTAGAAAAGGACCAATGACATCAGGAGGGCAATGTCTTGGCTTGCAAGTGAACTGGATTTAAATGAGGTAAGGATGTGCAAAGTTATCAGCCTCACTCTCTCCTCCAGAGTCATCAGAGTCCAGCGGCAAAACATAGGTCAGGACAACTAGTGATGGACCAGGATGCAGTGGGAGACCTTGACCTTTTCCCCAGGTCTTTCCCAGGTCTCAAGGCAACACCCATTCAGTAGTCAAGGCTAGGTAAGAAATGAGGTAAAAGATAGCCTAGTTTGCCTTCACAAAAGAATCAACCAGGAAGTAGAAGGCCCTCAGAGTTTCTCTTAACCAGAGAGTTAAGACCACACTGGGGCAGCTGGGTGAGAGGAGACTGAGCAGGTCTGGGCTTCCTACCTTCTGTCCCTTCAATACACATCATGTGGGTCAGGCCTTCTGTCACATTCTTCCCTATGGCATGGTTGATGGTCATCCTGCTCTCTTGTACGTGGCCTCGAACCTTCGGAATATAAAGAAATCATGCCACTCGGAATATTTCAAAACAATTCAACAAATACGAGTTTAGTACATACTACATATAAGGAGCCTCATAAAATCAAAAAACAAAACAGAACCTGCCCATTTGGAGTCGGGAGACCTGGGTTGTAATTTTGGACTAGATACTTACTGTATGACCTTGAAGAAGTCACCTGGCTTCTCTAAACATGAATTTGCTCATCTGTAAAGTGGGGATAGTATTTATACTACCCAACTTATAGGGCTGGTGGGAGGAAACTCTTTTAAACCTGAAAGTACCATAGAAATGTGTACCATCATCATCATCATCATTATTAAGCCTCCCCTCCTTTAAGGGGCTTTCCCTGACCACTCTAGCCCCATATTAGTCTCTCTAAACTCCTATAGCAATTAATTATCACCACACAAATCAACACCTGATCACCAACTATCTCTTGTGATGTGCTTTATTTCAAATCAGATAATATCTGCAAAGCGCTTAGCATGGTGCCTAGCACATAGCAGGTGCTATATCTTCCGCACTCCCTCCACCTGGTAGCATCCTCTATTTCACCTCTATTTTTGCCTCGTCCCACAGTGCCTGGTTAATGCCAGTCCCACGGCAGGCAGAATGAATAACTGACCCCTCCAAAACAAACAGGGAATATGGCCCTCCCTGGGTAATCTCCAGAGCAGGACTCCATCTCTCTCAAGGGCACTTCACCGTCTTCCTTCCCTCATGTCAGAGTACCTACTATGTGCAAGGCATTGTGCTAGGTGCTGGGGGAAGAGAGGGGTTAGGGAGAAGAAGGGAGGGAGGAACAAGGACAAAGAACTGGTCCCTCCCCCAAAGGAGCTCAGAGAGGAGACATTTGCAAATTATCTGATCTGAAATAGAGCATACCACAAGACAGAGTTTGTGGTCAGGTGTTGAATTTGAGGCAATAATTAATTGCTGTAGGGGTTTGGAGAGACTGGTGTGGGCTAGAGTGGTCAGGGAAGGCCCCTTAGAGGAGGTGAAGCTTAAACTGGGTCATAATAATGACAATAGTGAGGATTGACCTGCATGCATGCAGACAAATACAAGTAATGTATGATGAGTGTCTAACAAAGGTACCATGTGTTATAAAATCAGATGGGGGGGGCAGAAATCATCATTTTATGGAAAAAGCAGAATTTTATGCAGGGTCTTAAAGGACAGGTTCTTGTTGTGTTTGTCCTTCGTTCTGGAAGAGGACCATGACATCAGGGAGATGATGACATGACTTGCAGTTGACTTTGATTTGCTTGAGGGAGGGCTGTGCAACGTCACCAGCCTCACTTTCTCCTCCTGAGCCACCTGCGTCCAGTGGCCAGATATAGATGAGGACAACTAGAGATGGCCCAGGATTCAGTGGGAGACCTTGGCCCTTTTAAGCTAAGGTTTTTTCAGGTTCTCACTTTAAGTGAGGTAACACCCATTCAGTGAACGGGCCTCTTTAAGAAGAGGGTCAAGGGATGGTCCCTTTAATTAAAAAAAAAAAAAAATCAAACTAGGAGGGGAAGACCCTCAGGGTTGCTGGTCAAAAGAGAAACAGTTACTATTTACATTCACTCTGAGCAAGGAGGGCCCACAGCCCTCCCTCACTTAAAAGGACAAGTAGGCAGTCAACCAACAGAGGGAATGGAGGGAGGGGCATTCCAGCTGTGGAGTGTCACAGAGGTAGGAAAGGAGAGGTTAACAAATCATTCATTTTGGCTGGAAAGTGGTCTGTGAAGGTGGTAATGCAAGAAAGGAAGGAGGGCACCAGTTTGTGAAGGGCCTTGAATGCCAGGCTAAGGTATCATGGACAGGGAGTCATGTGAAGGCATACATGGGTAGCCACGTAAAGGCATGCATGGGGAGCCATGTGAAGGCATGGGTGGGGAGCCACATGAAGGCATGGGTGGGGAGCCACATGAAGGCATGGATGGGGAGCCAT